TTCTATGAGGTACTAAATTAAACAAGTGGTTTACTCAGCAACACCTTGCCTGCCATGGCCCAGGCACTGGATATGGTAATGGCTGGGCTCCTGGTAATGGTAATACCGTACAGCTGGTTAATTTTGCGGAGAAAAATTTTGTGAATCCTTAAAAATAACCTGGTTTGCGGATTAAATATTTGCGGTTTTGACAGTTATTGTAGCATTATCTACTGTGGTCATGCATGAATTTCATTATTTTGCGGATTTAAATTTTGCGCTTTAAATGGAATCGCAAACTCGCAAAATTTAATTCCCCGCAAATATTTCCTGCTGTACGGTACCTCCTAAAGAAGCAAAAATAGATATTTTATTAATGTAGCTACAAAATTTTATATTCTTACTATAACAAAACAGTTGCTGCAAGTGTGCAAGAGGTAATAGCTCCAAAGATAAAGCCTTATCTTTTTATTGGCTATGATAAAGAAATATTATAATGTAGAATAAAAACTTACTGCAAAGCAATCTATTGGAATGCAAGAAATTCCATTATAAAAAGATATCCGTCATTACTTTTAAATTGAAAGGCAACACAGAAACACCTAGTTTATAGTAAACTCACGCAAAAGACTGGTAGTGTTATTATAGTGTCAGTTGAGTTAGTTACCCTTAGGCTTGGGTCTTGCATTCCTTGGCCTTAATGGAGGCCTAGAAAGGCTCCACTACCAAGCCCCAGGGACGAGGTCAGGTAAAGGTATTACCATAGATACTATATACCCCTGGATATGAAACACGGCCCGACCGGATGTTCTGAGGCTTGTTTCACCGGAAATACGTCATAATATTACGTTTTCATTCAGAATAAAAATAAAACAATGATAAAAAGTATTATTATTGCTAATAAAAGTGTGATTTTATGTACAATAATACAATAAAACTTGACATTTATCATGCATTATAATTGCTGAAACTTTCCTTTTCTTTTAGTATATGCAGTCTACCAATGCGGCATGACTTTCCCATCTCTTGTCACCTAAAAATGATGATTTTGACAAAAAAATTGCACCAAAACTAAAAATACACTCCTTTTGAGAATAGGCCCACTACAACTACCTATTCTCAAGCTACAAAACCATATAGAAAAAGTTCCAATTAAGTCAAGTATTACAAAGAAAAATTGGCTAGAAAGGTGGGGCTTGAAAAACCAAGATTTAGAAAATAACAGCTCTTTTACTTAACACAAACTCTAAATAATAGCCCCACTACAACTAGTAAACAATAACCTATCAGTACAATAAAAAATGTTGGCCTAATTCAACAGAGTTAAGCTAAAAAAGTGGCTTGAGTGAAATGTACACAACAAGTAGGCTATGACATCCATTGTAGAACTAAAATATGCACTCAAACTATTGTTTATGAGCATTATTTCAATATTTAAAGGCTTTGCAAAGTCCTCTGAGGGATCATTCAGCTACTTTAACAAACGAATAGGCTACTGTGATTGTTTTACTTACCCTGGCAGCCATGAATGCAGCGAAACAAGGGTGAGGACAGCCGGATGTGACGTTAATGACCAGACTTGGGGTCAATTACAAATTTTCAATTACAATTACATGTTTCTATACATAAATTTGTTCCAAATAGCCTCAATTAAAATTACAATTACATTTCAGGTCTCTCAACTCAATTACAATTACAATTACATTTTAATTTAATTACAATATAATTACAGTTTTAAATCATGGTTACAACGTATAAACATTAATGACTCAAATAGATTATTACTGAGACGACACCGCTCTGGCCTAAAAATTTTTCCTCCTATACTAAAAATCCTTTCTACAGGTGCTGATGATGCATGTATGGCTAAATAAACAGTGGCTAGTTTAGCGAGGATTGGGTATTTGTCCTTATTTGTTTTCCAAAACCCAAGAACATCAATATCGTCATCATCGGCATCAAGGCAAGGAATTGACAAATATGCATTGATCTTAGATGATACTCCAACTTGGTTTGCCTGATTACAGTAAGTAGCACTAGACCGGTCTTTCATAAATCCTAAGCCTTGTCTAGCCCTCTTTGTAGGAGGAGGAAGATCAGCTGGCATCTCAGCCTCAGGTGGAGAAATTTCTTCTGCCTTCTTTAACAGTAACACCTTTGTGCTCTCCACTTCTTCATCAGTGCACCAATCAAGTTTGTATCTTGGATCTAACACTGTTGCCAATTTAAATATCTCCATTAATTCAAACTTGGAAAGCCTTTCGTCCACTGCATTCTGAAGAGAAGTAACAAGTCGGCAATTATATTTTATTGCTAGTTTTTCCAGCTGTTCACGAAGAGATCGAACACAGATGATGACCTCACTACCTGTAACAATATTTTGTCCCTGAGCAATATTTGTTGCTTCTTCAAAGGGTCTCAAAATCTCACACAAATCTCGCAGTAATTTCATTTCGTGTGCTTTTGGCTTATCTAAGAAATCTATTTGTTCCATAATATCATCTGGAACTTGTACAACACTTCTGATCATTTTGAGTTGACTGTTCCACCTAGTAGCATTAGCAAGTTGTAGTTTATTGCATTTCTCTAAGAGTTCAGAAGCAAGATGAGATTTCCTGACAAAAGACACTAATTTTGAAACTTTGCTAATCACTGTCCTCAACTGGCCAGCATCCTTAAGTCCATCCTTTACAGCTAACTGTAGAGTGTGTGCGAAGCAAGGTATTCTGTCAGGGACAGGTGTTTCTTCAGCTGCAGACAGGATACTACCTTGAACAAATCCGGCCAAATCCAACGTCATAGGTTCAAGATCACCTTCCTCTTCATCCTCTACTTCTTCCTCATCTTCTACGTCCTCATCATCCTCTTCAGTAGCATATCCAGGTAAAGAGAAGGCTTTTACCATGTTAGCAGCACTGTCAGTAATGACTGCTGTGATTTTATTATGAACACCATATTCTGTAACGATTTGGTCATAATGCTGATAAATAGTTTCTCCAGTGTGCGATCCATAAACCCTTCGACATGTTAGCAACGCAGACATCAAAGTGAAGTTCTCAATAAAATGCGCAGTAACAGCAATGAAAGACCTCATATCTCTACTGGACCACAGATCTATTGTTAGACAAACTCCAGGTGCTTCTTGAAACTTGAGCTTCATCTTTTGATGAATGTTGGCACATCTGTCAGGAATAAGCTTTGTGCATAAATGCTTTCTGCTAGGCATTGTATAAGCTGGCTGGGCCTTTTCTATTACTTCCCTAAATGCAACACTTTCCACAAGGGAAACAGGTAGTAAATCTTTAGCAATAAATGAGACAATAGATTGTGTGAGAGAGATTTGTCTGTCATCGTTGTGGTGCCATTTCCTTAGTGCAGTCGTGTACTCGGTAACTTTAGCTTGTGTTGCTGGACTACACTTACTAAGACTTTTATGTATTTCGGGATGTTTCCTCTAAAATGAGACATATTTAAAATGCCACATTCTGATTAAAATGCTGCCTAGCTTACCTTTAGATGAGTAATGAAGTTTGAAGTTGCCTTATAAGATCCAGACACTTTAACTTTACAGTGCTTACAAACTGCTTTGAAGTTTGTAAGAGGAGCATCAGTACTTTGAGCTTCAGGTAGGTTGTAATGATCGAAAGCAGGAGAATTTGCCATGACAGAACTGAACACATGTGAAACTAAAACAATCACATGACTTTACAGGTGGAATATGCATGCATAAAGTCTATGGTTTAGTTATCTCCTTTGGTGTAAATGCGCCTTATCAGGTGATGTAATTTATCATTAGTTACAATTACAATTACAGTCCATAGTTTGAAATATATGTCAATTACGATTACAATTACGTAATTGTAATTGTAATTCGACCTTAAATTACAATTACAATTGTAATTGACCCCAAGTCTGTTAATGACGTTTCCTTATGGGATTTTATATGTGTGCATAGAGGAGTTTCGTATCCAGGGGTATATAGTATTTATGGTATTACCTCCTAAAGAAGCAAAAATTCACCATTTCAGTAATGTAGCTAGAAAGATTTATATTCTTACAATCATAAAG